AACACCTCATTAGGAACCCTGTAAACTGTGCTTTTTTGCTTAGCAAAGATGATTTAACTAGTCCACAGTATACTAAAGAAAAGTGTCTTGTTTGAGCAGAACTTGTCTGGCAGTCACAACTGGGGATTCTAGCAGAACCACGCCATCTCATCAGCACAGCAAGGGAGGGAGGGTGGGCAGGCGGGTGGGCTGTCTGGGAGTGGTTGGATGTTTTAACCTCCTCACCAGGCATATTGGCCCATAATATTTATTTAATGTTAGTAATAAGCATTTTGCTAAGGATGTGGTTGATACATGGAAGGTAAAAGTGAGGAAGCTGTTGTCAAGGAATATAAAGGGTTGCAGATGCATTTAAACCCAAGGAACAGCATTTTCTCTAAAATGAGAGGAAAGAGTAAAGACATTTTCAAGTGGGGGTGGTAGGGAAGGACAGAGGAGGAGCAGGTACCCCAAGCTGTATGAGCAAGAGCAGTTCTGAGGATTTGTGCTTTGTATGTTCCTGTCACAGCATAGCTGCTGAGCTCTGTCACCTTCTAATGTTTGAGCCCCACCTCGTTCACTGCATCATGCTTTTGCCGTATTAGTTGCTTCTTATGCTGTGGTAGGCTCTTCATGGCAGTGGCACCTCTCCTGTGTCCATCTGGCATGCTCGATCCCACGTGTTCTGGCAATCAAATCATAGATGAACAGTGAACATCTGAATAGCTGTTAATTATGCTACTGCTTTCCAGCTGTGGTATCGCTGTGCCACTTTTAATAATTCAGAAGTGATGGAGAGGTGGGGGAGTGAAAGGGCTGCAGCAATCTTTGTTTCTCTCCATAGCATGTGCTTCCTGCTCGGTGGCTCTGTAGTTACCACAGAAACGGTAGAGGGATGACACTGAGGGCTGGCGTGGGACTTCTGGGTTTGCTCCGTGACAGCTGCACATCTGCACATAGGAAAAATGAGGGCTTGGCTTTCTTTGGTTTGATGCCTTTTCCCCTCTTCCCCTCAACCGTTTTGTGAAACTTAATTGTTAAACAGGTGATGCTCCCAAATGTTGATGTATTTGTTAAAGAGTCTTTTTATTACTGATTCTAGTAAAAATACGCAGTGTAGAAAATGAGCATTACTGATGGTCTGGAGGAGTTGAGTGAGGTAGTGCAGGAATATGATCATGAAATCTTTCATTGGTATAAACTGGAGTCCTGGTTATAGTTGGAACATCACTACTGGAAGGTTGTTTAATGTGTTTCAAATGCACTGGGACTTTAGGGAACAGATTTACTGGAAGAGACTAAGGACCACTTCACTGACATTTGCTCAGTGCAGCATTCTCTGTTTTGGTGAAGGCTGAATCTCAGTAATTAGAATATATATCCTAATCACCCCTCGCACTAGCTGTACTGACCTGCATAATGCCAGTCTGGGAAGCTATGGAGGGAGAGGCATAGGAGAGAAAGGGAGCAGCCTCCTGCATCTCCAGGTTGCTGGTATAGCTCCCGGTGGCTGTGCAAGTGTGGGCATTGGGAGGTGGAGGGTGGGCAGGGGTGGTTACTCTGCTGCTCGTGTTTTAGAGCTGTATCCATCTTTAAGCTGCCTAATCTACTAGCATTAGCTGTGCTGTTTGTTTTATACCTGTGTTAGGTGCTTAGATTTTCAGCAATTTTGCTGGAATTGTTCTGAGGGAACAACTAAAAACCTCTTTTACCTAGGGATCAGAGTGGAACTTGGTGACTGGCTTGAGATGTACTGTTGGGCTATTCTTTAATTACAGGCAGAAGGAGACTGCTTGATTTAGTATCTCTGTCCCTCCTTTCAGTGATAGCCTAGAGAAGGTTAAAAAAGATTTTCTGTAACAGGTTAGTTTGCTGGCAGCTGCCTGGCAACTGTTTGCTTCGTTGCTTTAGAATGGGACCAAGACAATAAAATACCATGTAAACCCACTCTTCTTTTGAATTTTGTGGCAAATACATACTCTTTTTTCCACACGAGAGACTTCTTTTGAAGTCTGCATTCAACAGATTTTTCACTATGGGAGCAAACTGAGGTTTAATTTCCTTCTGCCCAGTTTATGTACACGAGTGAGGTATCCCTGTCTAGTGAACTTAAATTTGAACTTTAACTAAATTTATGAGCACATAATGAGGTTTTTTCTCCCTTTGTGAAACCTGTAGAAATAGTTCACAGACCTTCTCTTGCCCTCTGTTTGCCTTGCTAGAGTCTGCAGACTCAAGGTTCGAAAAATATGGAGTATATCTACTTCAAATTTGTAATCCATGAAGCAGAGTTAAGAGAAAATACTAAGTATGTGCTAGGAAAAGCTTAACCTTAAAGTTCAGTATTTGTCCTCCAAAATGGCAGATCCTGAAATTTAATTGCTGACGCTTTAAAACTCTGATTTTTAAAAAAAAAAAAAAAGGAGGAAAAAAAGAAGAGTGGAACAACACACTTGGATACCAGAAGTGATGTTTAGGAAACGCTGCTCTGAGTAGTTTCTTGCAACTATCCTTGTGTCTTCAAAAGTGATGTTACCCTGGTACTCACAATTCAGAGATTTTTGTTCTCTTTCTTTTTTTTTTTTTTTTTCCATTTTCAGTTGTGGGTCTGTTGCAGGTTTTTTTTGAGAAAATCAGCCTTTGGAGAAGTAAATGTAGACAACAAAAAAATTACATTGAAAAACAGTAGTTCAAGATGGAGTTCTCTTCTGTTTCCTCTAGATATGGCACTGCTGGGCTTAGCTTTGGTCCTCTGAGTCTGTTAAATGTGCTCTTGTTAATTGGAAAATGTCTTCAACATAAACTGCAAATTGCATCTGAAAGATGAGTTAGCTGTCTCTTTCTAATACACGCTCATCTATAGCAACTGTTCTTCAGTTTCAGTTAACACAGCTCTTATCACTTTTGCCAAAGTTAAAAATGTACTAAATTATTGCCACTGAGTTCAGGAGAGGTCTCTGAATTCAGAAAACATCTACTGAGTGTGTGATGTCATTTTTATGAAGTCATTCTTTAGATTAGAATTGCAGTTTAGAAAAAAATGACTTCTACTGTAAGTGTAGTAAAATTGTTGTTAAATCCTAATCTTTTGGAGTGATTGGGATTCTTTTCCTGTTCTGTGACCCTGCAGTGAATAGCCTCTTTATTCCCAAACTACAGGAAACTTCTTAGTGTTTTGTATGAGGTTCTGCAATGTGTGTGTGTTTCAGGGACCTTGACTTTTAAGGACACATGCACATCTCCCCTCTACCCCAACAGCTGATGTAAAATGAAAACATTGAAGGCTATGCAAAAGTATCTGAGAAGCAGTTCATGTAAAACTGTGTACAGTACAGGTCTGTGAGCTGTGCAAGATTGCTTGTATAATTCTGGCTCAGTTTTGTGTAATCCTGGTGCACAGCAATGGTGTGATTGCTGTATATCTGGAGTAGAAAACGCCAATTTTGTTGGTTTCGTAACTGACACTTTTTTGAAGGATTTTACTTCAACTTTTAGCTGAAAATTCATCTCTGAATCTTTAGTTGATGAATATGTAATTAAAAGGATGTGTTTGAATAGGTCTAAAAATTTGTAGTCACAAAGGTTACAGGAATGCTTCACCAGAACTGATTCAGTATTGGTTTTGCTCTTGGTTCTTCTCATCCTCTAGGAGTGTATCAGAAGGGCTACGTCTAATAAAATGGGATATTCTGCCTCCTAACCCAGTGGTCCTAAGCTCAGAAGCTGATTCTGCTGGTACTCATTGCTGAGGTGTAGGCAGACAGGATCTGAGCACTTGTAGAAATTGGCTCTGGGGTGCTAGGAGGTGCATGCTAGGACTGGTTACCCTTTTGACTATTGGCTTACTTCTTTGTTTCGTGCCTTTTTAAATTTTTTTTTCCAAAAAGAAGCTAAAAAGTATGAGAGTTGTTTCTCCCTCCAAAAGACATGCTAAACCTCAGCTTCCAAGTCTTACTTGTAATTGTTTCTAAGTTGTCTTCTTTTTATTTTAAACAGGTCAACTATAACAGTATTTACTTCAATGATTTGTGGAGAAAGAAGTTGACTCTAGTATTATCCACTGTTAGTTTTTACTCCTAATTTAGATAAAGGACAATTGTCATTATTTAAGAAAACAGTTCAGAAGCAGGGACAAAATTGAAAAATATAGGACTTAATGTTTAAGACGCACTGGAAGAAACGGATTTTAATCTTGCATGTTAATTTTGGGTTAAAATTTTCCAAATAAAGATAACCAGTATTAAAGCTTACTAAAAAGGTTCTTTATGATTCTCAAAAGCACTGAATTAGACTTTGAATCAGATTTTTTTTTTAATTTAACAGAAAATACCTCATTTTGTGTAAAACTTTATGGTTCCTGTACCAGTCTTGTCCTTTTTCTAGGATCTTTTTGATAGAGCATTTGTGTAAATATGCCAGTTTGTGTGTATAGTAACTCTTGTTAGCTGTCAAAAGGATTGACCAGTCTCTTGCATAGAGGGACTCTTAAAAAGAGTTATTGTCAAGAAATGTTTTTATTTTTTAATGTTCTTAAAATGTTGGTATGAATCAATGCGGTTTCTGCTGCAAGACTTTGAGGATGAAAGCTGTATTTACAGATGAGGGGAAAAGGTATTAGACAATTAAAGGCATTCTAGGGGGCTGCAGCTCATTTTGTTAGATTATAACAGTATTTCATCTTGCACAGATGAGGGAGTGATCCTCTATAAAACTCAGCTACCACTTTATCGGATATTGGCAGGCTTTGAGTGCTTTATCCCTTTGATTAGACCTTGATTGCCACTCAAGAACCCAATACAGCTTGCAGCCATCTCACTTCAATTTGTGCAAGCGTATGATGAAAGAATGTGAAGGTAGATGTTTAAAGCATGCCCCCCTCATCCTTTGTGTATGAAAGGCTTGTTAAGGTTCATCAAAGAAAGAATCCCTTATTTTGGACAATTCTGAGCTTTGGTTTGCAACTGAGCGCCCCTCAGAGAGGATTTTGAAAGTTTACTTGCCTCTCTGCTATGTATTTTCAGGTGCTCTCACAGTTGGCCTTGTGCGACAGTGTCAAACCATCCATGGACGTGACAGGACCTGTATTCCTCCACGGCTGCCTCCTGAGTGGGTCACTACGTTATTTTTCATCATTATGGGAATCATTTCACTAACTGTCACATGTGGTTTGCTGGTGGCTTCCCACTGGCGAAGAGAAGCTACTAAATATGCACGCTGGATAGCTTTCACTGGAAGTAAGTGACCTCAACTACACAGTTGACCTGTATGCAGGATAAACTGGTGGAGTCTCAAATAACACTATAGTGTTGTCAAGGAGCAGTGCTTAGGGCTCTTACTATACAAAACATTCCTTCTCTTTAAATACCATGTTTGAGGGAAAAATAAAATTCTTCAAAAATCAAGGGGTTGGTATCTTAAGTGACTATAATTGAGAGGGAATAATAGTCTGTTGGCCCAGGGAGAAAGAGAGGAAGGCCTGACCCCTTTACTTTCCTTGGGCAGTGCCATTAATTGACCTAAGAAAATGAGCCCCGATACAAGAGGTCAGTCCTGAATTGTGTGTCTGATAGTCTTTCTTACTTCCCCACTCCCATATATCCAGGACTTATTCCTAGCAGAATGGAATGACTGAGGAAGAGGAGGCAGTTGATAGGTCTGAGACTTACTACAGTCTGAAATCCATCCCTACTTCAGGTGTCTCGTGAATACCTCATTCAGGGTTGATGCTGGTTCAGTCCTGCTTCATGCTCACAGCGGGTGTTTTATTCAGAATATCTGCATCCTAATTGGCTATGCAGGAGGATTGCCCACTGCAGAGCATCTGCTGTGCTTCACAGCACTGAGACTTTTGCTTCCATAAGTGACCCACAGCAGTGCTTTACCTGGAGGGAGGAGTAGCGGTGTTTTTGTGCCTCCCTTGATTCTGCTCGTTACGAGCACCAGTGTAACTCCCCGCAGCTGAGCCTTCTCTAGCAGCCCTATGTTTCCGCACAGGTAAACATATCTTATGGCAACTTCGGTGCAGAAGAAAAACAGTTATAACGAGTAAGGGGAATAACTTTCAAACTTCCTTTTCTTGGTGTGTGTTACAGGCTTAGCCCAACTGTGAAATGGTGCCTTAATGGTGGGGATGACAGCATGAAAAAAATCAAAACCTGAGGGCTTTTAAATTGACTTGAATTATGACATACCACTAAAGGTAGTGTGAACGCTAACTAGAAAATGCAAGTTTGTGGTTTACACAGGCATAAATAAGGTTTAATGGAACTCTGACATCTAATGATATCTAATATGAATGAGATTTAACCTTGTTTTGGGGAAGGGAATAGTATAAAAAAGTGCTCAGCTTCAACAAAGGTACTTCACTGAGGCATTTGTGCAATCAAAGCCATCCTGCTGACAACTCTGCTACACAGCATATTAAATTAATGGTGCAGCTTTTGCAGACAATGGAGTTATTGAAATGCTGTATCCGTTGTGATTGACTTTTATTTATTTTCTGGTGAATGATTGAAATAGCAGACATGAGTATTACTGAATATTCCATCCCAACTTTTCCAGTGCACTTGTTTATCTATATGTATTTCATGTATATCTAATGTATGCACAGAGGGTTTAAACTCTAAATGCCATATAAAATCAAGATGCTTACAGTAAGCTGAGGTCAAAGCTCTAGGGTAAAGGGGGTTTTTGGAGTACTATATATTAATAGTTGATACCACAATTTATTTACTGATGTTTTTTTCTTAATTCAGAGCTTGTATTTTGGGTTTTACATGTTTTAATGTTTTTTAAAATATCTCCAATTGTCACATCCCTGAATCTTTATTTTTCTACAACTGTGATGGTTAGTTCAACCAAAGAATCTGATACCCTAAAGCTGTTGTGGTTTTTTTTTTCCTGTAGATTTCTTTAGGCTTGTAACAGGTCCGTTATTAGAAGTCTAAATATAGAAGGACACTCTTTTATTTCAGCACTTGTCTTTCTGTTATGAGATGTTTAATAATGAAACATACTAATTTGTTCTTTTGCAAGTCAGAATTATTCATAATTCTGTTAAGATGTGATCGCTGCATTGCTGAAATTCTAAAATTCAACATCTTTGGTATTCATCTCCAATACATATGACACTGTGACCTTTGCATTCCTGTTAACAATGATGATGGGAAATTTTATTGCTTACCTTACTTGTAAGAAAAATCAGTTTTGAAAAAAAAGTAGTGAATGGGAGGAAGAGTTCTGTATTTTTGAAAAAGTTGGTGAGAGTGACTTCTGTGGTTCATTGGATGGCAACACAAATTGGTAACCTTTTTGTAGATTAGTATTAGGAAACATGTAGCCATGTGGAATCAACTTGGAATACCATGAACAGATCCGTCCTGTGAAGTGCCAGTGCTGTAAGATGAAAACATGTGTAACTCATTAGAAGGGAGTAGAGAAAACTTCATAGTTGTCTTACATCTCTTCTGCAGGCAATTTCAGGACTCAACAGCCTAGTACAGGCTGCTAGCAGCTACTCTTCTCACAGAACTTTCTGAACACAACATAAGACATGCTATCCTAGGCAGGCAGTGAAGTCTGCTGGGACTGCCAAGGGCTGTGCTGGGACTGGCAGCTCAATTCTCTTCAAATGCAAGGGGGTCTAGAGTAAATCATCAAAGGGCAAAGGAATCCTCTTGCTCAGTCCTTTCCTTGCAACTCTGACAGCAGCAAGGAGAGCCTGGTAAGAGGTTGCTCTTGTCCAGTTCATCCTGGAATTTATATATAAATATATAGCTTATATTTTTAATGGAATTTTTGCTTGTAATCTTGTCATCTTGCATGACTCCACATTTTTTCCACTGTGTACCTATAAATATGAATTATTGCTGAGAGTGATCTTGTCTATCTTGTTTAGCTAAGGGACACACAAAGGACAAAAGTTTGATGTGTCAATTCTCTTTTGTGTGTACCCTTCTAAACGGATACACCCAAGAGAGTATTTACTCGCACAGTGTTTGCATCCTTCCCCAGCTGTTGTTGGTTTTACTGCACAGAAACTTGTCTTTCTGGCTTCTCTGCAAAATGGCATTGTGGAGAGGAGAGGTATTTCCCTCCTCCAGGTCATACTGCATGAGTGACAAAAGTCTTCTAAAGGCAAATGTGAAAGTTTTCATTCACTTTGTGTAGAGAAGAGTCTTTCAACAATCACAGTATTCCTACTGATGTGATAGGTATTGTCGCTTTGGGCACAGATACCATCAAAACTGGCACTGATGCTTGAGTCCTGTCCTGCCCAGGTCTCGTGTGTGCTTCTTCAGTGAACGAGGTATTGCAAATTCATAGCTATGCTTCGTGTTTATAGCAGCCAAAGATCTGATTAGCTATTCCTTTGCATGGTATTACTTGCCAGTTGCTCAAGTGTGAGCTAACTGCCTGTTACCGTCTCAGCTTCTATACCACTTCATCAGTAATTATGCCCTATGACATAATGGCGTAAGATGGTAGCAAAAAAGTAACCTGGCTTTGGTATTGTTCCATGTATCTTTGAAAGTACTCCTTTTTTGTTAGTCCTACTTCAAATTTATGTAAATCCCTTGCCTTTTCAGGGTGCTCGTTATGCCATCTTCCGGTTTAGAAGATAGGATGCGGTGAATCTACGGTAAATCTCAAATGTTGTAATTTCCATGGTCCTTGGGACAGATACTGTTAGGTTCCATAATTAGAAACAGTGTCCAGAGGTTATTCTCTGCAGAGGCCACCTCGGGGATCTTCTGTATATTATAACAATCTTGGCTATTGTAGGAATTCACAGAGCTCCCACAAGATCTGTTTACATCTTACACAAATTCAGGTCTCTTACTATCTGCTACTATTAGAAAGGGAATTAATTCAGTGGTCTGCTACCACTGAATGAGGTGCTTCTCTGAGATGTATCAAGGGAGAAGGTGCTGGACAGAAAAATCATATTTCTGCCTTTTTTCCAGCAGTTACTAGAGAGTCTGTTATTCTTTTTGCTTGAGGATTTAAATGTTCAGCTTTTTGGAATGCAAGTAAAAATGGGGCAGAATAATCACATTCTTAACTAACAGTAGCTATCCTGCAAACGTCTGTCACTGGTGTTCCCCAGTGAGTAAAGTGCTTCTTGAGTTATTCAAGATTTGTACCAGGTGCTGCTTTCTATGTTATGCATCTCTAAAGAGGCAAGCAAGTATTACAATGAGCCATCTAGAGACTAGACCATAACTTTTTCCTTCTTTTAATACACTGGAATTTTTGAAGTTATCATTGGATGCTCAAAACAATTTCAAGCTAAAGAATTACAGGAACTAGATCTTTTTTTGATAGCCACCATTCAGAAGCAGACTAGAAATTACTCTGTTTTGTTACCTAAATTTTTTTGTTAATAGAAACTGTAGTCATTAAGGGTCTTTTCTTCAAATTTTCCTGCCCAAGGAGGAATTTGAAATCAAAAGCAAGTACTCTTGAGGGAGAAGTTCTTTATGGGTTGCTGGAAATGTTGCTGGAAATTCACGGAGTTGATACTACCAGATGTGGAGAGTTACATTTGGGCTACAGCTTGTATAAAAAGTTCCTGTCCTCTAGCTTACAAATCTCCCTCTAAAAGAATATGCAGTAAGTTAACTGAGCAGTTCATATATTGGATTTTCTCCTTAGTTTCTTCTTTTTTTAAAAAAAATTTATTGTGCAGTCTTTTCTTAATGACTTCTCAAAACTTTGCCGTAATTCCTTTGCCAGGCTTCCTAATCTGACAGAGACTTTGATGAATCCATTTTTTATTTGCTATTTCAGTAGACTAAAAATTCAGACCACGCTGAGAAAATTGCTTGGACACCCTCACAGCAGAACATGTGCACTGTGTGTATGCACAGTGGAAGGGAAATAATGGCTGGTTACTTCTATAGTGAATGTTTGAAATGTGTATGCAAATCAGCATTCTGCATGCTGACAGCACGTGCAGAATTTTTTTTCTCCTGCTGTGAACTGAGGGAGAGTTGAGGTACCTGCACCCTTCTGTCGTCAGGCAGGAACGCAAGGAGACACTGGGCATGTGCTCCATTTGGCAGTACAGTGCCGCTAGCAGGTCTCAGACCTAGGAGCACTGGTGCATGCATCCACAACATACCTCAAAGAACAGTGGTTTATTAGAGAGGGATTAAGATCTATTCTTCAACCATATCCATGAGGCCATCAGAACTTTTCCAGCTGTGTCGTTCTTGAATATAATAAAGGAGATTTAATCTTGAAAGTGCAGGTTGTTTTCAGAATCCTAAAGCTATTTCCTATTTCCTGTAAGTGTGTTATTGTTAAAATATTACAGAAGTTTTGTAAATAACTGGAATGCTCGTCAAGGACAAACTGGATGTAATGGGAAGCGTGCTGAGTTATGATAATATTACTCATCCTCAGAATATTGTTCAAACTGTTACTAATTGTGTGTTGCATTACTAATCACATATCAACCACTGTTTTCTGGACCACTCAAGTGTAGAGCTCTTTTGTGCTTACACAGATCTGCTCAAGAAACACATACCCAAGCTTCCTCTGCTCAGATGGACCAGCTGTTGGTTAAGGTACAAGTAAAAAAGGGAAACATTCTTTAAGGATTACATTGTGTAGTGTGGAATTACATGGACCAATAATCATATAGATTAAAACCTTCTGGATTATTTAATGTTCAACGTCTGGTTGCTGGTTCTTTGGTTTTGTTTTCATAGCTGGCCTAACGAGGTAGCACTGAGCAAGAATGTACTAACTATACAGTTGCCAGATGTTTTTTGTTAGTGCTCTTTTTCTTCCCCTTTAAAAAATAATCCACCAGTGCTGTTACATTAAAAGTGAGACACGAGCTCCCTCGAGTGGAACATTTCATTTTTTCCTGCTCAGTATTGTCAGCTGAAAGCTAATCCTGGTGGTAGCTGCTCTTGACTCAAGGTATTGTGAAAGCTGCTTCATATGTGTCAGAAAGCAAGGAGCAGCTGATGTTCTGGTGTGGACCATGGTTTGTAAAACCATTCTTTTTTGTTTATGCTCAAGTCCTACTTGGACACTTTTAAAATTCAGATTCATCATGCCCATAACTAGTCTCTTCTATAGAACATGAGTGTTTTTTCCTCAAAGCTGAGACCTGTGCTATTCAAATCATAAGCTTTGAGCATTAAGATATAAAATATGTGATAAACTATTTGTCTTGGATAAACATGGAGTCCATTAAAAAAAAAGTTTTTAGTACAGGCATGTAACACTGTAGCTGGATAAACTGGAGCATGTGTACTTGGCAGTAGTGAAGTTACATTCAAAAATATTGAGGCTGCTCCAGCCATCATTTCCTCATTTGGAAAGACTAGACTTTGTTCTGGTGAGGCCGAAGGAGCCAGGCGAGCTCCTGAATTTGTTTTGGAAACAAAAGCAGCTGCTGACTTGCAGAGGAACCAGTGATTAAGGTGACGGCTATTACTGTTACCTGTGGTTTTTACTGTTGCTTGTTTGACTTGTAGGCAAGCCCAAATAGGGTACAGGATCCCCAGAGTTTGTTCTCTCTCTTAGTGGTGGAGAAGAGAAAGGGGAGACAAGGACAGCACCTGTGTCCCTTACTAAGAAACAAAAAGCAACGGTTTGTATTAACTGAGAGAAGACTGAAAAAATTAGCATGTAATGGACTTTATTCAGGCAGGAGCATTGTAACTTGGCTTGAATTTTCTTTTTCATGTGGCAAGGTTTATAGGTAGACTTTGAGGACTAGGAGAGACTTTGGTGTTAGCTGCATATAATGTTAGGAGATGTTGGTATGTGGATTTGTAGGGTTGGTGGTAGAACAGAGCAGGCTCAGCCCTTCTCTCCCCGCAGATATCATTTAGATTTGGTTGAATAATGGGTATTGGGATGCCACGTTCCACTCACAGTAAATAACGTTTGAAACAAAGTTGAAATACGTAGAAGTGAAATAAGAGTAAAGCACTAATAGACTAATAGTTGACTGAACTAGTAGAATCAGATAAAATTCTGTGTTATTCTAATACTGATAAAAAAACCTAATTGTATATTCTTGCATATGCAATCAAACCAATTCAAAAGCTAATCCTTTTTATTGTGAGGAATGTCTTGTCTCTTAGAGGAGCCATATTTGGAAGTCATTCCTTTGATGAAGACAGTAGAGCCCTGCATATTGCTACGTTCAAACGAAACAGGGTTACTTATCCAAAGCTATGTTACAGGAACACTGAAGTTGTCATCTGGGAAAGATTACAACGCTGGATGTTCTCTCCTGGATTTGATCGGAGTACTGAAATGTGCTGTGAGGAATGCTGGCCACTATTGATACCTGAAAGCCTAGGAAATCCATAATGAAATTCTAATGAATGGTTTTAATAGGAGTTCTGGTTTCTGTTTTGTACATCCACAGAGTCAGCTGTAAGGACGAACCATGTACATAAGTCTTAACTGTTCAGGTGAAATAAAAAGCCTCATTGCTTGGTTCTTTTTTTCCATGGAGTCTGAATTTGAAGTTTTTCACCAAGAAGCTTAGATTAAACTGAATCAGAAAACTGTCTTTGTATTCCAATAGGAAATCTTAAGGGTATTTCATTACTTAAGGAAACATTCGTATAACTTCAGGAACCTGGTGTCTTTTAACCTTAAAGAAACTGTAATGACAATCTGTGTGTTTTCTATTTTTAGCAAAGCTTTTACAGAAAAGGAGTTTGTGTGGAAGAATGGGAGAGGGCAACTACAGTTGGAAAAAGACAACTCTGATTATTGAAAAGGAGTTTCTTCAATGCTGAATGTTAGTTTATCTTGACTTTGGGGAAAAATGACTTTAAAATAACTGGAGAAGTGATGAACTCTGTGACTAAACTTGTGGATGGTGGTAGAAGTACATCCACCAAATTTTTATTCTGTGAAGACAGTTCATGATCTAGTGAGCAGGACTGGAATTACAGTCAAAATTGGGGTCTTTTAGTCTTTCTTGGGAGTAGATAAGGGATGTTTTAAAAGCAAGATACAGTCTACTCAGTCATTTCAAGCAAGTTAGGTGCTGGAATATCTCAGCTCTTCAGTTTGGTCAGAATATTTGCTTGGTTTTCTGGACTGCTCTATGAAATACTTTGACTTTAACACAACAGTGACCTTTTTTTTTTTTTTTTTTTTTTTCTCTTTTCAGTGATTCTATTCTGTATGGCAGCCCTAATATTTCCAATAGGATTTTACATCAATGAAGTTGGAGGTCAACCGTATAAATTACCCAATAACACAGTGGTTGGATCTTCGTATGTACTGTTTGTCTTATCCATTTTCTTTACAATAGTGGGACTTCTATTTGCTGGCAAAGTTTGTTTACCTGGCTGATGAATGTCTGAACTGCAGGACTTTATTTTGGAAAACAGCAAGACATCAGAATTGCATTCTCAGGAGGATGCCTAGATCAGACTATCAAACACTTACTGAAAAGAGGAATGCTTTGACTTGTTGTCACTATGCACTTTGGATGAAAAAAAGGAGAGCCTTTCCCATAACCAAATACAGACAACGCTGACTAATCTCCTGAGCATATTTTAATGCAGTCAGGTCTGCACTGTGATAGGAACTAGTGAAGAATGCTTTACACTGAGAAGCATAATGCCCCATGTTACTGTACTGTTCCTGTTTTTAATGTCTAACGATTTGGAAGTCAAAGTATTTATGAACTTTGTGGTAGACCAGAGGGTTGCAGAGGAATTCAAAGTGAGGCTGGCCTCGCTGTTTAGGAGATTAGTATTTTACATCTTCCTTCTGATGAGCAAAGCCTTTGGCACCAATGTGGATCAATCTGGCATTACTGCACCAAGAAGCCAATAGATCAAAACATGTTCTCTAAACATAGGTAACAGCAAGAAGGCATACATCCCCTCCTCCCCTATAAGCGCTAGAAAAACACTAAGGAACATTTTAGAGGGGGATTTCTTCCTTATATTTATAT